GGACAATGATGAGTGGTAGAGCCCGGTATTGCAAGTATCGCCTTCCGCAATACTACTACCATACAAAGACAGGCATCAAATGGAAGAAATTTCGCCTATACTCTATTCAGTTGGTCTAATTTTAATCCCTTTCCCTTCTTAATTTCTTTTATGGATCGAAGAAGAAGTAGATTAAAAGTATATAACGCATAAGAATGGTAAATATTGTTTTATCTGTGCCACCTTTTCGTCGATTAAAGGAAAATAACGTCTATGTCTAATAATGTCTATGGGCAACGATGACTTCCTTTTTTAATCAACGACTTTTTATTTTTTTTAATGAGTTCTACATACCTGTTGTGTATTAGGAAATGATTGTGCCAGTCCCCCGTTGTACGAGTACGCGTACGGCGAGGGCTGCGAGAAGCCGGTGCTGGGCATGGTGCCCACCGCGCCCACGCCCCCCACCGCGCCCACGCCACTCATACCATACGCACTCAAATACGTAGGCGTAGCCTTACATGATGACCTACGAAAGTCGTAGTTTGTACATCTGCTAAGTTTTTTAGTAATGGCAACGTTTTTCAACCATAGACAATATTTAAGATTGTGCCTGATTGAACAGAATGACTACAGGAACTTTTATTTGTAGATATTTGTTCACGTGTAGGAAAAATTATAAATTCATTTTTTCATTATTTTATACTTTCAAGTTTATAAGTGGGGAGGGACTGCCCTCACTGTCTCCCTGATTTTGTTTACCATAGGTTATGTTGTTTTATTACCAGAGATTCCGTGTCATCTAACAAGTAAAATACTGTAATTTCATTATTTCTCTTTCTGTTGTCATCTTATTAGAATATCTGGTAGTTCTATATGATAATTAAGTTGTTGATTTCATTATTTTTACCTATTATTAGTGTTATGTGGCGGCGGGTAGGCCGCGTACGGTTGATTGTAGAGCGTAGAACTGACGTACGACGAGGTCGCACCTCCGCCGCCATATTGCTGCATGCTGCCAACACAATAGAATTAAATGTCATTGAAAAGGCAAAGGATTGTGAATTGTAAAGCCAAAAACATTAGTGTATATTTTCATAATAAAGTAGTTAATAGAGAATAATTTTGAGGATAAATTTTGCTTATTTAATTTACAAATAAATCTCATTTATAGACTGAGTATAAAAGGTAAACCAGCTTAAAGCAAGCAATAAGGATTTGTGTGAAGCCATACAAAGTGGAAAGTTTACGCAAATACTTCCGCGTCATGATAACTGTACTATGAATAAAATTACCTTTAACTGCAAGAATATTGTATTTTAGTTATTTTAGTAATAACAATCGGTTTTAGTACGTTTTTTTCTTTGTTGTTAAATTAAAAAGGGACAATATGTACAGTCGGGGACTCTGGCGGTGTTCACCTACAATCGTTTGAACATTTTGAAAGACAACTTATAAATGTGTCTTCACGAAAAAAAGTCGTTTAGCTACACGGTTATTTCATTTTTATTATCCCTTCGTTTACACTCAATGATCTAATAAGTTATTTATATAAGGCTGAATTTGTTTCGTTACAGGATAAAGGCAATTTTTGCTAACACCGCGGATTTCTGCGATTGTACACATTTAGTTACCTATTGTAATACTGGTAAGGCAGCGTGGACTGGTCGTATGGCAGCGTCTCGCCGTACAGCGCCGCGTCCGCCTCACACAGGCCCGGGCTGCGGACCTCGCTCTTCACACCGCCACCTGCACATCATTTTTATGATGTCCTGGTACTTCTACTTGTATTAAAACATATTTAGATGATGAAAAAGTGTTTTTGTTGCTTATTTGATATCGCCATTTTATCTCTGACGGTAATATTGTCCTAGGGACATCTGTGACACAGTACTATTTTTAGATAAAAAAAACTAATATCTATGTAAATTATGATTTATATGAGTATTACTGGTACAAATGAAACGGAATGGATACATCTATATCAATAAATTTTTCTTTTTATTATCTTGCCATCGCTAATTAACATAACTTGCATATATTTAATAAAATTATTAGCTAAATGGCAATAAATCGATGAAATTGAATTAAAAGATGATCATCAAGACCTACCGGAATATTTCAACTAATTTGATATTCAAAATGTCGAAATGTATTTGTGTTAATGTGTAATTAAAATTAATGTATCTGTTAAACTGTTTAACCTTTACAATATAGTTAAAAATATATAATAACGAGCTGTTGCCCGCGACGTCATACGCGTGGTATTAGAATACATACAAAAAATAAAAATTACAAAAAGCTACGTATCCCTCGGGAACCGGACATTTCTCGGGGATGAAGCTTATCCCATGTGTACTCCAGACTTTGTTTTATATCTATGCCAAATTTTAATAAGATATGTTGAACCGTTGCAGAATGATTGAGCAAACATTAAAAAACTAAATTAATGAATCCCACGGAAACCGTAACTATTTCAGGGATAAAAATTAGCCTATGTGTTCTTCCAGGCTATGCTCTAAACCTATGCCAAATTTCATGGAGATCCGTTCAGCCGTTTAGGCTACAAACGCTAACAAACATCCATCCATCCATTCATGTATCTATTCATCCATCCATCTAAACTTTCGCATTTATAATATTAGTATGATTATTAACATAATATTATATTCATAATTTTACTTTAATATACAAGAACTTACTAAGATAAAGGTTTCGGAATTTGTATAATGGCACAAAATAAACCCTTAAATTATTGTCTATTCTGTTTTGCAATAGTCTATGATGACCTATCAATGTTAATTCCTTTGCCTTTTACAAAAAAAAACAAAATCATACCCGTACTATCGTCATTCATTAACCAGGCTACGGCTGAGCTTGACGTCGTGGAACACAAGCCCGTTGATGTCAGCGGTAGTGCGAGCCCGCTCAGTGCGTTCGTGCAACCATTTGCCAAGCTGCAGTCCTCTTGTGGTAAACTCAAGCTGTCAGTTAGACTGAGTGCTGAGCTGTTAGACGTCGTGGCTTGGAACAGCGTCGACGCGCCTGTCACTAAAAGCGCGGGAAGTGTCGCATCTTGCAACAAAGATGGCGGCGATTCTGACGTCGATTCGGATTCACAGGGACTTGTGTTGTCGCCCGATAATCTGTAACAAGAAATATTGACTATAAATTAATACGATGTTAGAAGAAAATTGATGTTTCAGACATTTTAATCTGTACTAATATTATAACGAGGAAAGATTTGTATTTTTGTATGTATGGAAATATTTCAAACACTACTGGGCCGATTTTAAATATTCTTTCATCGTTAGAAAGGTAATTTATCTGTGAGTTACATAAGCTATATTTTTTAATTTCATGATAAATAAACCAAAGAAAAAACCCGGTTTATATGTCCATAAAGCACAAGAATTTAAAAGAACAATTTGCTTGGTTATAGTTTTAAAAATAACCGCATTTATTAACGTTTTATTCTACAGGATATTTAAAAATATCGTGTAATCCAGGAAGTTAATAGATTCTATTTCCTTAATAGATCAATCTAACAGTAATTCGAGGATAAAAATAAACAAGCAATTAGTTAAATGTTCAAATCACTTACACTGTTTACGTCAAACGGAACGTCTTAAACAAAACAATGTTGGTTTAACACAACAATGGGTATAAAAAATCCATTAAACTCCGCTTTCAGTTTGTTTACGGGGAAGCGTCTTTTTATAAACACACGCCCTCGATATCTTAATTTCGGAAGGAAAAAGCGCAATCAAATCAACACGATGTAATTGTAATTCTCGTCGGTTTTTTATTGTTCTTTGAAATGTTTGATAATTACGCGCATTATGACACGAAAATCGTTAAAGTTAGTAATTATTTTCTTTCGCATTACTTCAAAATGATTTCTGAATTTATTACTACAGCTGTTAATAACAAGAAATCAATATAAAAATGATTAATCGTAAAACGAAAGCTTGAGAGAGGTAATTTGATCGAGTGAAATCAATTGACTCGTCTGTCAAAAACACAAATATAACTGGCCAGTGACAGCAATAAAAAAGATAGCAATTAAGATTACACCAACGTTTAATCGCTATTTGTTTTTTTAATTATAAATTACGACTATATAATTAAATCACCGAATTCAAACACATGCCACCGCCCGGGCCCCTGTTATCTAACAAAATGTTTACACGTGTTCGAATTAATTTAGCTTGTTATCGACGCCTGCTCGCTCGCGCCATTTAATCAAACTCCCGCGCTGTCACATGTGACAGATGCGTGACGTCACTCCAATTTAAATGGCATTTAATGCGTTTATCTTTTTTTATCTGTTGTCTGTTTGAATGTGTAACTTGTTGAAGTTAAAACTATGCTGATAAATGATTTTTAAAAAGTAAATTAAAAAATGTGTATGTCACGAAATATGTTAGTATTTGGGTTAGTATAAGGGAGTACATACATAAGTAAAGAATAAAGTAATCACAGTAGAACATAAAACGAAAAATGTGACAAATAAATCATCCTACCATATGGATTGTCACTCATTGCGATGTTAAAAGCTTTGATGTCTTTTGTTAGACGAATTTAAAACTGTTTTACGATGACTACTGCATAAAAAGTGATGTGAAAAGGAGCCGAAAACATTAAAAAAAGCTTTCAATTAAAAAGATAGTGACAATAATGCCAGAAATTCCGGGGCTCGAAGTTCTTTTGATATACGATAGTGTTGAAGGCAACTCTCGATGTGGCGGCAAAAAGCAAAGTGACACTTGAAAAAGGCGCGAACTAATATAAACAAGGGTTCTTTTTTCTAAGCAAAGGCCATCCGTGTTCAGCCAGCGGAAAGAGTTATAACTTTATGTTATTTGTGACGATTGATAAATAATTTATTGCACAGATACTTAAAAATAACAATCGAATGTATGAAAAACAATGAAATTGTTATTTTTTGCTTGACATAAATGTATAAAATGAGAAATAATATCAATACATTGACATTTTTAAAACAATCATAGACTATGATTTTGTAGAAGGTCGAAAGAAGTAGGTACCTACAGGGTTTAACAATTTTTTTTTTAAATGAATATCTGTTGTGCGTGTGTTATTAAAACTACTTAAGTATATTGAGTGTGTAACGTTCCACGATTGTACATATCCCTACAAAATCCCTAGCAATTGTAGTGAGAACAATGCGACCTCTTACCGCCCCGTGTCCTGCCCTCAAGGGCACAATGGCCGGCACACTTCCACTCCAAAACAAACAACGCGTTATAAGTCAAGGGTTCCTTACAATAAACACTTATATGTAACGCTCAAATACTGTTAATTATGTTGTGAATGATGGAAATTCTAAACAGTACACTATTTAATTTCTAGGTCTCCGTCTGCGAGGAATTAAAAACAAAAGTAAGTAGCCTGTGTTATTCCAGACTAT